GAGAACTGCGCCCTGTCCTAGCTGCCATAGAGCAAGGGGTGGCGTACACTCTGGACAGGTCAGTGTACAGCAGGGTCAATACAAAGAGACATGCTCGCATTCACACTTGTGATCAATTTAGGATCATCAGCTAGTCTAACATGCATGTCTTTGGGCTGTGGGAGGAAGCAGGAGTTCCCGGAGAGAACCCATGCAGCCATCCAACTCTGGATTCAAAGCAGCAACTGTGTGCCTGTGAGGTGTCCGTGCTCTCCACAGCATCGCCATGCCACCCTGCAGTGTCGCAAGAAAATTATCCTTTCCATTCTACTTTGAATCCCTCCCCCTTCTAAAATCTACTCCACCTCACTCTCAATAATAACATGATCAGGTTGACTTGGATAATAAGCTGCAGTCCGACTGTGGAGACATTGTCTGCCCAATTTTCAGACCCTAAAGGGGAAAAAACATGTTTTGTTGCTTCTGGCCACTTCTGAAGGGCTGCAGCCCAGACATAAACATCGATGTGGCCGGGCAGAGGAAGCTCTGAGGCCGCCACTGCTGCCGCGGATGAAGGTTGGCAGCCAGACGGAGACACTCAGGTGCAAACTCACCAAATTTAAAACACGCTCTGGAAACAGAGTCACTTTGTTGGGGAGCTGTCATTTGGCATGCCAACACTTGAAAAGTGAATCTGTAGCGAGCACACTGGGTGTAGGGATTTCAAACCTTTTCATATCAAAGTCTCTTCACCTCCACCCACAGCTCACCCTTTGCCAAAAGGAAAAAAAAACTGATTCGGATTATACCATGGACCCTGTTTAATTAGATTTTTTAAAAATGATCCTTTGGAAGTACATCTGAGAAGGTTGTTGTTGTTGTTAAATATAAATTGGCAGAGAATTATATAAGTGTCATCTGATGCCAGCAGACTGAAGAACAAGCACCATCAAGAGAATAGTCCACATATTTATATATTTTGCTTAGGCAATAAGACATGCTTATATTGAATCTGGAATCCTGATATTCAACCCTGGGCCCCCTGGGGTCTCCTGCACCCTGCTGTGATGAAATATTTGTCAGCGTATGTGGGTGACCAGATAATCAGTGTATGTTTTCAAACAGGAGCTAAGCTGGTTTGCTTAGCTTTGCATAAATATTGGAAACGAGAAGCTTGATTGTGTCTGAAGGTAACAAGATCCACCCACGAGCGAGGCACTTTAATTAATACGTTGCATCAAATATTACCTTTGAAAGATAAGAAGACTGTTGACCAGCTGAAAAAAGCGCAATAAGGAAATAAGATACATGCTGGGTTTAATACACACTTAAGATTCCTGCAGACACACTTAGCAAAGCTTTAAGTCTTTGTCTTAAATCAAGTCTTTGTTCTGCCATTCATCTTGATAACATCACACTGTCAAGCAGACCATTCAGAAACAGTAGGTTCATTCTGTTCTGACAGACGATACTGATAGAGTGGTTCTGTTTAAACAAAGTTGGTACAGAGCAAAAAGATACGAGAGAGACAACCAGTCTGTAACAGACAGGGCTGATAGACAGACACACACAGGGAGAACAAGACAGACGAGTCCTTAAGCACAGAAGCTACCGCTTCACGAGGCAGGGCGTGTAAGACAGGGAGTGCCCCGAAACACACACACACACACACACACACACGCACACCAGACAAAAACAAATGTGAAAGTACAGGGTAGAAACGGTACAACAAACACTGACTGCAGTCACATGTGTGTTTACGCAATTGAAAGAGGACGTTAGACTTTGCTGAGGTAGTAAACGGAGTGTCTGCACAGTTCACTGGAAAATCAAATCAATAAAAATATTGTTGCTGCCATATTAACAACTTGTTTTTAATGTGTGCATGCATTCACGTGTCTGTGTGTGTGTTTTACTACCTATTATAATCATGAAGACACTGCAGCTCTAAGTTCTTTCAGTGGCAATAACGTGTATTTAATATTCTCTTTGTATTTAAACAGTTTTTTTATTAGTGTTGTCTTGTGTTGTTTTCATTTAACACAAAAGCGATTTCCTCCCTGAGATTTTGCCAAAATTACAGGAAAGTCTAACAGGACAGGAAACACAAGCAGTCCGGTGGACAGACAGGTTTCCCAAGTATTTGAAAACAAAACACAGACAATGAGTGTCTGTTGTAAGCTGCCACATTTCAAAACCCGTCTTCCTGATCCAGAGTTGCTCTACTGTACTTACAGTATATTTGCTCACACACACCGTTTTCCTGAGCAATGTAAACGTATTACTGACATTTTGGGCGTGCTCACTTTCAGTTTTAGTTTGAAATAAAGCGGTTTAGGAGCTCCGTCTTCTTGTGGTTGGCCTCACTGATCATCCACCCACTCATATTTAATACACCTGCTGGACTTGTGTGTTGTGTTCCCAGGACTAAAGTGTATCGGTGTATCATTCCCGATCGAGTTATAGTGAAAGCTATAAATATAGATGGAATAAATAAGAATTTCCTTTAACTTGAGTGTTTTTATATTTATAGGTTTTGGTATGGGTAAACTGATGCGAGGAAACTGACTGTGATGAAGCAGAAATTGAAGTAAGTAGGAGGAAGCTTTCACAACTGATGTTCAAGCAATGCTAACTAACAGGAATCTGCAGCATTTCTTGTGTCTGTTGTGGTCTTGTGATCCACATCTGTCATAACAAAGTAAACATTCACAGGTTTCATATTCCAAGAAGCTTATCTTGTGAAAGTTTCCTTTCTTCCCACATTTTTTGTTTCTTTTGCTTTTTTCTGTTTCAGGAACACGCTTCTTTTTCCACAAAGTCCATAAACTGAAACTACACAGTGACAAACACATATAAACAGTGTGAGTACTGAAGTGTGCAAACACACACTACTATGTGGTAAATATGGGCTGATTGTTGGACGGCAGAGCAGCTCTGAGTCTTAGGCTTACTGAGATAGTTTCAGTAAGCCTGCTTGCTGACCTCAGTTCTCCTGGTTCCAGAGAAATGCACACTTCTTTGAAATCCTCCCCCACACTCATGTTTTCACACTTAATGACAGAAGCATCAACCACATTTCCCCTGAAGCCAGCACAAAGACTGGAATGGGTTGACCTTTGTAAAAACTGACTCTGGGAGACTGACAAAAGAGGGCTTCAGTACAAAAGTATAGCCACATGTGGCCGGACAGTTTCTGTGTTTCTTGATGTTCCCTGATATGCAGATACTGCTGGCCTTTGATGCTGGTCAAGTGATAATGAGGGGAATTACAGAATTTTTGGGTCACTGAAACTTCAGCTACACAGACAAACAAACATGTTTGTCTGTGTAACCGTAGTAAGTGCCAGCTCTTTGTAGAAACATCAGATTGTTGCGACATGATGCAGCTCATAAAAAGATTCAGTCTCAATCTCTAACATCAATTTATTAGCATTGTTTTCCAGGTCGTAACTTTTGTGCTGATAACACTTTATGACACGCAGCTTTATACCCTATTTATTTCCACGTGTGTCAAGCTTATTGTGCTGTGTCACTGCACTAATCCCCTCCCGAGGGACTGAGTGAATGTCCCCAGATCAGCAGGATGGGATCCTTGACTTTGGAGAGGAGTGCAGAACACTTCGGAGAACCTCTCCATATTGTTCTGTACGTAAAGTCTTCTGCTCCAAAACAGCCGAGAGCGGCACTGAGCTGTGATGAGGGTAGGTCATGGGCCTTCTGCTGTGTCATTGGGTCAGTCATGCAGTTGCATTTTGGTTATATTCTGCTCATATTTGTCTTTGATCCGTCTGAAATAATGAGCAGCAATGCAGAGGCAAGTCTGCACAAAGGCATCTATCTCATAGGTGAGCTCGTATCTGCTTGTTTCTCTAAATTGATTTTAAGCGTCACAGATTTATTAAACAAGGCCCAGACAGGAAGAAGAGGGGAAATGGATCCTGGCAGCCTGGCAAAGCATTACGAGTACTGCAGTACTGTTCAGAAAGCATATATAAAAGTTAAGAAGAATGGCTTTGAGGATAACACTAAGTTAAAAACAAGTCCACAAGTGATTGCATGGATTAAACAATATCACTGTTTGTTTCTTGTTTTTGTTATTTACCCATCTCCTTTGCTTCTAAGAAGATCAGACTGAGCCAGCATCAATACGAATCTAAAAATATGAGCGACCAAACAACTCCCACTTCCCACTTTACTGAGGTGACCTTTTGCACTCCTCTTTTCCACCCATAATAAGTCTTTCACTGCCTATAAATCAACCAAGCCACCTAAAATGATTGCTCCTTAGTCTTGTTTTGGCTCTGGGCAACCCATACTCCCAAATCAGTTCCATTTTATTAGATGTTAAAACTGTAGTTTATTAATCCAAAGAGCCGATATAGCTCTGAGGCAACTGTTAGACATGATCGAAATGGTGATTCGTGACGGGAGAAACTGTAGTTAACATCCCTTAGTTTGAAATGTGAAAATTATTGTATCCTCTTGTAGGAGCAAAGCCTGTGTGAGGCTAAGATCGGGCTTGCTTAAGTACTTTGACTTTTCTTTTAACTGACTTCTGTGTCTGTGCTGTTTTTTGTTTGCTGCTATCGCCCCCTGCTGGTCACTGTTGGTACAGAATGTACATTTGGCACTTGCAGATAACAGTGTTGTAGCTATATTATAACAACACATGTGTTTTTAGATACTCATTCATTGGTCTGTTGAAACAGTGTATCAAATGTATAATTTTTTGTTGAATTATTGTGTTAATTAATTTAAGCCAATATTATTATTATGAATATATTATAATAAGTAGTAGAAAATGAAAACAATAAGTCATAAATGTGTATGTATTTACTTTTTTAAATAATCAAGATGAATTAGATGAACATAGAAAACTGTGTCACGCATGCATTTTGCTTTCTTTTCAGAATAAACTTTGGTTAAAGTTAAAAGTTTTAAGTTTTACAACTCTAAAATAAAATCTGCTATCTCTCATCGACTATCAAGATGCAGCATCCAGATTACTCTGAGCTCTTCCCTTTTAAAAATGATAGAAATAACAATAATCTTCCACCTGCTTCCGGTTACAGTAATTCAAAATGATCAAACTTAAATAGATTTTTTCTATCTTAGACAAACATGGATTTCCAAAGGTCATCGTATTCCTTTAAACATATCAAAACATATTGTTATTCATATTTCCTATCCCTCTCTTCCTTTTGATTTTTGAAACTAATTACAGATCATCGTTGAAAGCCAAACTTCAGAAGTTGCATGACAAAATCAGAGTGCTTTATGTACTAAACTAATTTCCAAAAACTGTGGCCGCGAAGGTGCTACTAACTAGTAAGACTGAAAGTCCCACTTCAGTGACTAACTTCACTTCTGAAAGCATGCACTGCATCAAGCCTTATATTTTCAAACCATCGCAAGTTCATGTGAACCTACCAACTGTCCACCTAAGACCCTGTGAGCTCTGACCCCATGCTCACACTGCGAAAACGCTGAGGTTCACTGAAGGACGGCACAGTGAGGAAGGACATTTTGTTTCCTCCCAAGGGAGGTTTGGGGGTGGACACAGCTTTGTTGTGACTGATAGCTGGCTGGGAGCTGCAGAGCTCCAGACTAGAGTGGGCAGCTGGGTGAAAGAGGAGAGCAGAGGGGTGACTCGAGGTGATGGGAATGGAGGAGGATGGTCGAGAAGACTTCTCTCCGGAGGACTTAGGTGGGGGAGGAAGCAGAGACACTGGAGCTCTGGTTGTCTCTCCGCTCTCTCCTTTCCCTTCTTCTTCCCCAATCTGGTGCTCTTCGTTGCACTTACTCTCCACTCTACTCAACTCTTTCCTCTCCTTGATGGCAGGTTGCTCTCCTGGCCTGTCCTGCTCAGACCCAAACTGAATCTCCAGCAAAGGCGTTCTGGCACTCTTCTCATCCCTAAAACTGCACACAGTGCTCTGTGTCTCCTGCCCGAGCCCTGATGGCAGAGACCCCGCTTTACCTATTTTACAGCTGTCCTCGTCTTCATCATCGCTGTTGTACTGGTCAATTCCGGGGGAGTGGCGCAGTCTCTGGAGCTGTGCTGAGGTGCGCCGAAGGGCCCCTCCCATTAGGCCAGTCGGTGATGGGGCTGAGTTGAGAAGGCGGTTGAAGAGAGCCATGTTAGGATGGCGAGTTCCTGACTCTTCCAAGTTCTCAGCAATATCTTCCAGAGGCTGGAAGTGCATCTCCTCTTTAGGAATCCTGTCAAGCGATACAGCAATTTATGTTCCATGTTCAGAGTTGTGTTTTGCGTTTTCAGCCTTCCTCTGGGGAACAGGTTTTACCATTTCTCAGCCCTAACTACGTCAAAGTACTTGATTTAATTTAGGTGCATTACTTTCATTTTCACAACTGAAATTTTCCCACCATGAGGGGGGAATCCAGTTGAAGGTGTCAAAGTCACAAAGGAAGTACACGTACAATGAGAAGGTAATGTAAAACTTACGCCATGTCAAAAGTGGACCCCTGGAACGAGGGCTTACGCAGGACGAAGAGAGTGGCTGCGGTGTAGGGTGGACGGGGATTGGAGTCATTCCAGTAACGGTCTCTCTCCATCATCGGCAAATCTCCATACATCTCATCCACAGCCATCATGGAAACCTACAGAATGAAATGCAAAGAGATGCACACATAATAAGTATCCACAATAAGAAAAAAAGTCCAATTAAAATCAAGCAAGCACAACAGAATCAAATTTTACCTGATGGTCGCTCTCTGCAAACATTTAAAACAGATTACAATAACTGCCACAGTGTCATTATAGTAGGCCAGAGATATGGAGGAGAAATTTAAAAAACAAAACAATGAAGAAGCTGCATTTGATAATGAGGCCACAAAGTTCCTCCCTGAGAAGTTGATTGCTACAAGATCAGAAAAAGAGCATTAAGAAACCTGGAAGTTTCTGTCTATCAGCCAGTTGGTCTCAAAGTCGTCATCATCTTCTCCAAAAGGGTTGATCAGCTGCTCAGCAACCTTCAGAACAAAACATAAAATATGAAAAAAACCCACAATAACTCTCCGTGTGTTCGTTTTTTGGGGTTTTTTTAGAATCAAACAGGGAATAAATGTGCTGTACGCCTAAATCTGACCTTGAGCCAGCCTGCATAAAAGAAGAACTGCAGTAGAGTGAAGATGGGCACATAGAGGTCAAGGTCATGACCTGGATAACCTTGACTGGGGTCCAGGAACTGGCGACCAATTAGACACACCAGGAAAAAACTGTACACGGCCAAAGTCACCACCTGAGGGACAGATGGATTTAGGTGGTTTTATGGTTTACTCTGCAGCTTTTCTTTAACCTCTTTTTTATCATTACAATACTAAAATGATCAAAAAGAAGCACTAAAATACACTTATTTTATTTTACATTTACAACAGATTAAGTGTTTATTAAAGACAGTTTATGTGAACATCAACAAATGCAATCTGACTAATCAAAAATTTATTTAATAGCTGCATACAAATACACTGAGCCATATTCCTATACTTATAAACACTAACAAAGTAAAGAAGTCTTTTTGGTTACTTATTTTTGATTGTTGCATTTTTGATCCTATATATCACAAAGCTCTAGAATGCAGCTGTAGTTATAGATTTGTTTTATTAGTTAAAATTATTACTTTTTATAAAAATCACTGTAAAAGCTAAGTACGTCCTTACTGTTTCCATTGGAAATAAGAGGATAAGTAGCAGCTAGGTGTTGCTAATCAAATGCACTTAATGAAATGATAATCAACAAGTGTGACCACCTCTGTACAAGCAGAGGTTTTAGCAGTTTGCCAGTCTGAAGCATTCAGGTAAGTGTTAACACAATGCCGCAATCATTCCAGGAGTGGACATCCCAGCAAATTCATCCCATGGTTAGAGTGTGTCGCGCTCAGACAAATTGCAAGAATTAGACTCTGAACAACATCTCAGACTCTACAGACCTCAGTTAGCGCTCAGTGTTCAAGTTCATGGTAGTACATTTAGAAAAAGACTGAACAAGTATGGTTTGTTTGGAAGCTTCCCCTTGAGAAAGCCTCTCCTCTCTAACGAACATGGCAACATGACTTAAGTTACACCTGAAAGAAACCATAAGACTCCCAGAACAATGTCCGGTGGACATTACACACAGTACCACATTTAATGAAAACCAAGCACAGCATATTAGCATAAGCGCCTCATGTCAGCTGTGAAGCACATTGGTGTTTTGGGCTTATTTTCCAGCCACAGGACGTGGGCACCTTCTAATCATTGAGTTGACCATAAACTCCCCTGTGCACCAAATGTTATAGAGTCAAATGTGAAGTCATCTATCTAAAACAACTGAAGCAATGAACATTGAAAGACTGATAAAGTCATACAGAAAATAATTACTTTGAGTTACTGCTGCTAAAAGGTCGATCTACAAGCTACTAAATCACAGGATGTACTTAGTTGTTCACGAGACTGCATAGAGTGCTGTGAAAACTTTTTATTTCAAATGAATGTACATGACTTGTCACTAGGGACTAATTTATTATTTATATTTGAACAATTACAATTTGAGAGATGCAGTCTTTCACCTGTAAGTTTTTGTCACTTCAGCTGGAAGCAATCGCAGTCATTTCTTTGACATCAGTGAATAAAATTGAAACAAAAGCCTAATGTAAAAAAAAATGTTTGTGTGAAAGAAAATCATAGTTTAATTAAAGATGTGTGTAAGTGTTAATAGCAGTGCGATAATAGTCAGCACTTACCTGAGTGTAGACCAGAGGAACACTGATCATGTCATAATGAAACAGCATGCTACACTTCCCTCTGAATGCATTCAGTTCCTGTTCACACACAAATAAAGAAACTAGCTGTCTGTGTGAATGCATATCTAAACCTGCATATCCACCAAAACACAACTTTAATTCTGCTGTACCTCCAGCAGTAATTTGAGAGTGTGATTATCTTTGATTCTGCCCTCGCAGCGAGCCATAGCAGCCAAGTTGGTGAACCAAACACAGGGAATCCAGTACTTGTTATATGGAGAGTGGAGACCCTCAAACTTCTTTCGCTCATCTCTTGTCATGAATCCTGCATGGACCAAAACCGGACTTGTTTATTATGTAAGACTTCAGTTTAAATAACAGCAAGAAACTGGGATGAGGATTCATAGACAATAGTCACAAAGAACTGCTTCAGAAAACAAACATAGTCTTCTGACGCTGTTCAAATCTCTGAGAATTGTTTGTGACTCTGTGAAATAACTTCACATTGTAAATCAAAGCAGGAGAGTCATTTGTGTGTGACTGGGCTAAAACACTTTGGGTCACTTCTTGACTACAGCCTGGGAAACATCTGATCACTGATACTCATCATCAGCATCAGCGAGTGAATGGCTATTTTACATTAACAGCTAAGAATAGACCCACACCACTCCCATCACCATCTTCCCTCCTTCACCATCCTTCTTACCAGCCTCTACCACGTGGTCCATGGTGGGGAAACGTTTGAAGACAGCAGTGCTGACAGAGCGGAGGATGAGCAGGGCTGACAGACTGGCGTAGCGCATCATGGTGCGCCTCAGCAGACGGCCTCGCTCGTCGCTCCCCTGGAGGCCGCCTGACAGGACGCACATGAGTCTGTCAGGGAGTGGGATGCTGGTGTACTGGTTCCACCACCTGTTCACCACCAGGGTCACATAGAAACCTGCAAACAGCAGTGGACAGATGATTACTACTGAAGATCTAAGTAAAAAACTGGAACTTTTAAAAAACATGAGATCATATGCTATCTTGTAAGGTCCATAAAGGGGCCTAAAGGATGTCAAGTGGTTTGAGTTTACTGTTACAGTGCTGTGAAAAAGTATTTGCCCCCTTCCTGAGTGGCTAATCCAAACCTATCCAGCCCTATGTGAAAAAGTAACCCAACTCATGTTAAATCATGAATTAACTGCGATTAACCACGTTTTTAAAACTTTCACTTTCACTACCCACACCCAGGTCTGATTACCGCTAGACCTGCTAAATCAAGAAATCACATAATATAATCAAAGTGAAATAGGATAAAAGATCTTAACAGAAACACATCAGGTCGTGGTCTAAAAATCTAAAGCTGAGAAACAAAGTCACTGATGTCTATTAATCTGAAAAGGATTACACAGGTTTTGGGACTCCAGTGAACCAGAGTGAGAGTCATTATCCACAAATGGAGAACATTTGGAACAGTGGTGAACCTTCCCAGGAGTGGCCATCCTACCAAAACTATTCCTAAAGTGCACTGACAACTCAACCAGGATCACCAAAGAGCTCAAAATGACATGTAAAGAACAACAACTTAAATAAAAAGAAAAGAAAAAACAACATCTCACAAGGGGTCAAAGGCCAGGGTGAAGAGGTGGGTTTTCAGAAGTGTTTTAAAAACAGGCAGAGAAGAGGCCTGTCTAATCTCTAAAGGCAGATTGTTCCACAGTTTTAGAGCTGCTACGGCAAAAGTACGATCTCCTCTAAGCTTATGCATATAATGCTGTAGCAACTCAGAGAGATAAGATGGGGCTAGGCCATGGAGGCTTTAAATGCAAATAAAATCATTTTAAAATTAATCCTAAAAGAAATGGGCAGCCAGTGAATTAAAATAAAAGACTGGCAAATATATGGCCTTAGTGGAAGAGTTTCAAAGAGAAATTCTCTGCTGACCAAAAACAACACAAACGCTTTTTTCACATTTGCCAAAAAAAACCAAAAAAAAAAAAAAAAGACTTTTAGAAAATATTCTGTGGACTGATGAGACAAAAGTTGAACTTTTTGGAAGGTTTAATGATGTAAAACTAACACAGCACTTATTAACAGTCAAACATAGTAGTCATAGTTGCCATTACTTGCGGTACCACGAATTCTGATATCTACTAGAAAATCCTGAAGGAGAATGCTCAGCCATCAGTTCATGTCCTGAAGATCAAACACACTCAGATTATGCACCAGGACAATGATCGGAAACACAGCAGCAATTCCATCTACTCAGGATATCTTTGTCTAATGATAAAATTTGTTTGATGATCTGACAAATATCCAAAAAACTAAAAATTAGAGGCAAATACTTTTTCACAGCAATGAACATAATGTCTTGTTAAGCCCGATGGATCCCAATAGAGAACCAGTAACCTTGACTAATGACTCACAGGATGCATAAGAATAATTAGGTGATTTACATCCACAAAGTAAAACCAACGAAACATGCAAACAGTGCAAGGACAGATGAACTTCAACAAAAGCTGAGTCTGTAAACTGAAAATCCCTCATGTACGGTAGTAAATGCACTAAAGGGTTTTTAAGACCCACACAAAAATCTGCTATTATCACTGTTAAAAATGTGTAGATCTCTTTTTAAAAACATTATTCTAATATTTGCATAATCAAACCTTCAATTACAAACAGCAGATATGTAACTCTAGAAGCTACAAACCCATGAAACAAGGGTCTCGATGTCCAGAGCTGAGGATCCCTGACAAAAATCTATAAAACATGAGCCTTGTCCTATTTAGCAAACTATTCCTATTTTCTGGATGCAAACATCAGGAGTAAATCATAAAAGTGAAAAAGATCTGGGAGACAGCAAAAAGGTGATCATTAGCTTACCCAGTACAAAAGACATGGGGATGAGACTGGCATAGTGATTGCAGTAAATTGCCAGCTTTTCGAAATACCTTTTCTGGTCATCATACAGGAAAAATCTAAAAACAACAGAGTAAAAGTTTTCCAAAGTTTAGTATGATGAATGGATCAAAGCACTGATAAAGCAATCCTCCTTTCTCACCTGTAAGTAATACTGATGGCGGTATACATGGCAAAGAAAGCCAGGAATTCTTTATATAACACCTTGTAGATGCTCCCTTTCCAGGCCCAGAGCAGCTTGGAGAAGCCACAGAATCGGGCGTTTGCAACTCTAGCCGTGTATGTGACCGTCATCAGTGACAGAAGATCTACAAGTCTCCAGAATAAAAGAAAAAAAACAGCTGTTTGGAAGAAACAGCTAAACTCAGGTGAGCCAGAGACAATGAGAACATGATCTCACAAAAAAAGTTTTTATTTCTAGTTATTGATTGTAGTTATTAAAAAAAACAAAAACATCTACTTACCTTTTGTTGTGATTTAGCTTGCTGAAATGTTCAGCGCATCCCCTGTGCGTAATTGGCACCTCTGGATAAGTGAATTCATATTTTCATTTAGTAGTACCGTCTTCCATTTTCCTTGTTCCGTGCTGTTTTTTCAATGAGCTCGGAATCCTGTGATCAAGTGGCTCCGTTAAGTTGAAGCTCATTCGGCTGCGTGGCAGTAATCCTACGTGCCTCCTCAGTGCGTCCAGTGGTCAGTGCGCCCCGGGGTAAATCCCCGAAACGAGAAGGAGGAGCTCGTTAACGCGACCCCCGACCGGGAGAGCGGGGCTAGGTGATGGAACACAAGCGACAGGCCGCAGCGCCGGGGCACCAGGAGCGCACAGGACCGTGCAGTACAGTAGAAAATTATGCAACAATAGCAAGTGAACCATGGCAAAGTTTCGTGTTAAGTGATACGAAAGAAAATCACCCAATTTTCCAGTTACAGATCAGTAATTACTGCGTGCTGCAGCTTAAATAACAAACATCTTAAGATACTCATACCATCTTAAAGGAGCATTTTATGTCAAAGCTTCCTCCACTTTTCTTAAACTTAGTTGTACTGTAATAAGGAGATATCAGTGGAGTGGAGCTCCGCACCTGGATATAGTTTCTGAGACTTTTTTTTTTAAATCATGTCTCCAAAGTACCCAACACGACTTATCGACCACATTTTAACTGAGACACTTCTTGGCGTTCATTGATACAATAGTCATTTTGTGTCATTTTTCCTCCCACTTTTGTGTTCTTTTCAGTGGGAGGCTTTTATGTTGCTCCTGAACTGCTTTGTTGGAAGGTTAAATGGGGCTTCATGCTCTGTCGGAGCCGATCTGCACACTGCTCAGTTTGGTGGTCTGTGCGCACGCAAGAATTTGCTTCAGTCCACTCCAATTAAACGATTAATTCAACTGGCACGCAGATGAAAAAGAAATGACCATGAAAGACTTTCAGCTGAGGCAAGTTTGTTTTAATCAACACTGACATTATAATTTAAGGAAAATCTATAGAAAACAGATTCTTACCAACTCAAAAACTGTCCGTGACAGAGGGGAAATGGAGCTTTTAACTGAGAGTGCACTATCCTGTCATTTATTTATGTTTCACTTGGGAAGCACCAATCAAGGCAGCCAGGAATCTGATATTCAATCAAAAGGGAAAGGATGCTTTAAATTTCCTTCACCTCACCATTCATTTAACATTTGATCAAGTGACATTCAATATGTATTTTAATTAACAAAGCGCTGAATAAGGCTACTAATATCTTTCAATGGTGTTCCCATATAGTTCTCAGTCAACAGGATGGACACAGGTTTGACAGAAACACACTGGATGAGTTTATGAGCGCTGTATAGGAACATGAACAGGGAGATCAGCAGTGCCCAACAGCTTTAGCTTCCAGCTCAAACATCACCAGTCACATCAAATAAAACTGCAACCTTCCTCCACATACCAACCAAAGCAACTAGTGTCCTTTATGGATAGAAAACAATAAATCTGACTGATGTTCTCATTATTGTCATCTAATGATCTGATAAATGGTAAAAGACACTCAAGTTTGTTTTGTTTCAGTTTGTTTTGGTTGCAATAACAAGGCTGTAACTAAAGACCACACAGGCTGTCTTCCTGGGTTTTTTTTAAGAGTTTTCTTTTTTATTTCCCTGCCACCACCACAACCTGAATATAGAAATCTGGATGGAAAAAGTGTGATACACGAGTTTGTTTGAATTTTTAAGTTGCAAATCAAATGGAAGAAGACACACAGTCACCATGAATCACACAGAATAAACAAGTCATAAACATCAACCATCTGAAAGCTGTTTTCTCCTCAAACACACAGCACTGTCACTGGAAACACTTTGTTTTCACAACTGAGGCCGGACACTGCACAGGGTGTGGGGGAGGAGGGGACGATTTTTCAATTCTTCTGTCGAGAAAAAGTTAAATGCTTAAAGTAGGAACTGCCACAGTGGATATGAAGACAAGAGAAGGTGAAGTGAGAGTAAGGCGGCACGCATATGTACCATCTTATCTCCAAAAATAATGCAGCTTCTCTATGGGTTTACTTGTGATGTCGTGGGGGGTGGGGCACCCTTCAATGCGGGCGGGTGTCTCGCTGTAACCGTGCTGTGAAGATACCGTGTTGAGGACTGAATGGATCGTCTTGAGGCTGTTGCTGCAGGATTTGAGGCTTGCTGGGGATGGAGCTCAGAGGAGGATAACTCAGACTGCAGAGCTGTGTCTGTAGAATGGGGGGGAGAGGAGGCGGCCCTGCGAGGGGGGCAGGACATCACTTGTTTGGGGGTTTGTAGGGTTCCAGAAGTTGCTTAGAGAACATGTTGACCTTGTCGGCACCTCGAACTTCATGGGGCAGTAGAGGTAACTTGACTATGTGGAAATCCTCGTAAAGATCTTCCATCTGTGGGCAGAAGACAAACCACCAATAAAGTTGTGTGACTTTGAACTGTAAATATTGTAAATAAACTTTCCCATTTCTCCTGATTCATACCTGGTCTAAATATTTCGACTGAATTTTATGGCGGGCTTCACACATTTTACACGGCCTGTCTGCATCAGGGAAAACGAGCTGGTTGACAATGATGTTGTGCGTGTCGATGCGGCACTTGGCCAGTTCCTGAATCAGCCGCTCTGTCTCATAAAGTGACAGAAATTCAGCAATACACACACAGATGAAGGTGGTCTGCTCCTGAAGGGTGAGAGGAAGGTGCGTCACAACACACATAGATAAAAACTATTAATATGACTTCATGAAGCTCAAATTTCCTCCAAATACTGAATTCGTTATTTACATTAAATATTTTGTCTAAACAGGTAGATGAGTTCCCATCAAAGAACAAAATCAAAAGGAACAACAAAACCTAAAGCAGTCAAGTAAAACAGACAAGCTACTAGGGCTCAACAGGGGTGGAGTTACAACTTTAAAAGAAAATAATAAAAAGGTGAAACTGTTGTCGAAACTTCTTTTGTCCTAATGACAAAATAGTATAAAGAGGGCTTGATAAGAGGGATACATGCATATGCAACAGGCCGCTGTGCACAGTAAGTCACTCCAAAAAAACTCTTGTATCCACACACACTATTGACACTCGAACCAGCTAAAGTTTCTTCTGTCATCAGATAAGACTTGTTACAGAGGGTGTGCATGTAGCTACCGCAGCACCTCATTAGAACAGTATATGACTGAAGTGTAGTGTGAAAAGGCTTATTCATCGTGGGTGGGTGGAGACTACAACCATTAAAGCAATTACATCTTTAACTGACAATGATGTTGCATCTGGTTCATCTGTACAATAATGCCAAAATTAGAAAGTGGCTGAAGGAAAAAAAAAAGTCCAGGGATCATTATTATTTTTAGGCTAGACGACTGTAATTTTCTTTTATCGAGTTGTTCTAAAGGCTCTCTGAAAAGCTTTCAGTTGATCCCAAATGTAAGAGAACTAGAAAACACATTTTTATATACATAATAAAATCAGAGAGGAGCACCCTCCCTTAACCTGATTTCCACCAGACAGGGCTCTTCCCGTTAAAAGGCAGTTAATTCTACCCTCAATCATCAAATCAATAGTAAGCTATTACTATATAAATCCCAAAGTTGTATAAGAATATATAAATGTGACTTACAGGGTCTTTGAACTGCTCACTAACTGAGCGAATGACTGGCAGGGTTTCTTCAAGCTTTGAGGCCAGCTGGTCTGCGTTCATGTCACCCAGACCAAGCATATTACACATCTAGAAACAGCAAAAGAGATGGACAGTGTGAGTGAAAACAAGAGAAGAGAGAAAACACTGGAGAAAGAAAAAGGCCAACAAAGTGCATATATTTAATCGGAAATCATGTTTTATGTGCAGAATAATGAAAATGGTTTGAACCGATCTGCTCGTCTCAGCACCCACCTGAGAGATGAAAGGGCTAATCTGGTTCTTGATCTGCATGAGGCGGCCTAGACCTCGCTCCACAATCGTGGGAAAGTTAAGCAGTCGCAGTGTGTGACCAGTAGGAGCAGTGTCAAAGACCACCACTGAGAAGTTCATTCCCTTCACTAATCTGAGATACAGGCAAACAACAGTGGTAAGTATAACACTCACTAACTGTCCTTAAAACTTCAGACATGCTGCGAGAAAACTCAAATACAAAACTACCTCATGACCTCTGCATAGCTCATAGCCTCATCGATGCCGGGGAAGGCGCTCATCGCTTCCTGCATCATCTTCTTGCCCATGCTGAGCATATTGTCCTCCTCGAAGAACTCATCAGGCAGCTCTGCCACACCCAAGCTCGGGTCAATCTCCTGTATACACATGCCCAAATCCTAAGATCAGAACACTTCAAATAGATTGCAAATGTTTTTATGCCCTCCAGTGATTGAGTTTGTTACACAGTGGTGCTTGTGAGACTCACATGTGGAACTGGCTAGCCTCATGACTCTGAAAAGATGGTGATCTCATGCACTAACTTGTTTTTTCCAAAAACAGAATGAACAAACCCTCTGTGCTTTTTAAACTCTGTCTAAACGTTAGTCTTTAATATGATGCAAAGATGAAAATGTGGATAAGAAAATCCTTGTACTGTGGATGCTTGCTCATTGTTGTTTCATAGACTTCATCAATGTTATTAATATTATTAATAACATGCTTCTCAGAAAAAAATATATTTGCAAACATTTGAGTTCAATTTTTAATCTCATCAAGCAGCACCTCACACTTGTAACATTTAATAGCTGTTAGGTGTACACATATACTCACCATTGCAAAGAGGTTGTCATAGCCCTTAACCTTAGTGGGTACCTTTGAGAACTTCTGGTCAAAAGCATCAGAGATGTTATGGGCAGGATCTGTGGAAATGATGAGCACACTCTCCCGAACAGCAGCCAGCTGGACAGCCAAACTACAGCTGTCAGAAGGACATGGAAAGGGGACAGGTTTGTGTTTAAAGAGCCTGTTAAGAGTATTTTGTGCCCAATGTAAGCATGTAAGAAATGCTGTGCAACTGACCAACAATGAGATCCGCAATGTTTTGAATTCTTAATCCTTCATGTGCATGCATGCCGTGTAAAGCACAAAGTCAAATTCTAATCCATTTCCACTTTGTGAACATTACCTTCCCCCAGTTACTTTGATGAACGCAACTTTCGCATGCAATTATATTCCAACTGAAACACAGTAGATAACTTAAGGGATAGCATAAGCGACAGTGGTTGATCTATGCGCAATGTTATCGTGGCTGCTCTGGTGTGATGTACATATTTGTTTGACACATTAGATTTTTGTTAGTTATCTTGTTTGAAACAAGTCCGCTACAGACTAGATCCACGTTCATTTGGAATCGCATTTATTCATATTTTTTTCTTCTTGTTATGAATAAAGATATGATAATACGGGCTTGACAGCCTAACTCTGGAGTCTCCTTTAACTCTGGGTGAAGTAAAAGAACAGGTAACATTAGCAGCAGGTTATTGATGATGGCTTATACGGTGATTACTGAAGGTGTTGAGAAAGTCGTGAATCCATGTGTCAGCTGCTAACGTTAGCTGCTGACTGCGCTTCACAGCTACCAAACTGCCCGGCGAAAGGACTCCTTACTCAAATCTAAAACATAACAGTCACTTTTCTTTGATGCTAGCGCGTCTTTAGGTAGAAATTTAACACCAGTCTAATCTCGTCGAGGGAAAATTACCCACGCAATTCATTTTCGGACAATGATCAACGTCAACTTATGGTAACGGCTAATGCTAGCCAGCCGCTCAAGCCGAGTCAGTATCCGGAGGCAATTTAGCATTTTAATCAACTTACCTACATGTCGTTTTACCAACGCCACCCTTCCCACCCACAAATATCCATTTCAAAGATTTCTGCTCGATGATATTCTTCAGAGTTGGTTCTAACGGCTCCACATCGGGCGCATCTTCAAATTCGTCTTCCACCAAAGCTGCCATCTTGTATGTGTACAGTCAGCGACGTACAGCTCAGGAGTTACGCAAAGACGTATCCACAGTTGATGCATTCACTGCTCCTCGGAGTTTTGAACCACGCAAGGTTTCACACTGCCGCAGGGTTGTAAAACATTTGGTAGTTTTAATATTGAAGACACTATTAATTTTTGACAGAAGAAGACAAGGAATCACATAGGTACTGACAATTATATTTTATTCATATTATATTCATGCGCATGTGTACGTTAGAATAGTTTGCAAGGAAGTCATCTAGAAACAGGTTTATGTAGATTTTGTATTATTTAGAATGATTAGTATATATCTTCAATTAATACTGTCAAGTATGATCAATCAATCAAACACAACAGTGAGTTACCAAAAACACTTTCATTTTTAATGTTCTCTGTAAACAAAAAATGTTTGATACTGTTTGAATATGAAAGTGCAAAAATAGAGTGAAAAAGAAAAATTGGAAGAAACATGCACAATCCACGAATTTCCCATAAACATGAATGTAGCACGAACTACACTAAACTCAGCGCCTTAGAAATTGCAGTTTACTGACGTAAAATATTTACTTAAATATTTATTAAGCCAGTTTGTACTAAAAATGTTGAAAGTTTAGAGCAGAGAAAATGAAAGAGCAGGTAGCGGCATCGTCTTAGTAATTAAAAGTAGCCATGTTCGATCATTTCAACTATAACACTGAAAATCAACAAAACAATAAAAAACAGTGTGCACAGAAAAAAGCCGGTCTGCAGTGATAAAAACATTCATTTACATGAACACATGCATGCAGTCACCACAGGATAAGGCACTTGTCTCCATAAACATCTTTTCCTTGCTTCACCTGTCCCCATCTGAGCACTGCCATCAGAGTTTTCACCTCTCAATTTTCTGGAGCGATCATCTCCATCTCTGACTTCAATGCAGTGCCAAGCCAGAATCTTTATGTGTGTTGTTTGAGCTCGCACGCAGTTCATCCCACTGGGAAAGGAGCAACTTTGCCCTCCATCTGGCCCTTCACAGTCAGTCTGCCGCAGCCACCGTGGCCAGAAGGTTGGGCCCAGATCGACCCACTGGTGCTGTAATTTGCATGTTGCTGAGCGCACCAGCCATCCTCTGACTGAATTGGCAGCATCTGATGGCAGAGAACTGAGGTCCAGTTCTGCAGCCTCCTTCTCTAGTTTCTGCTGATATTTTGCTGAAGCCTTTCTCAGTTCTGGAGACACACGCAGGTTAAATTTCTCTTTGAAGGTGGTAAGGGTGGGCTGACTTCCTTTGGGGGACTCAAAAGGGTGATCTACAGACATCCAAAACGGGTCAAACGAGGATCCCAGAAGACGCAGGAGGCGAGAAGGCTGGCGATGTCTGACTTTGGGCATGTAGTGGTAGTCGTCAGCATTTGTGATGAGGGTGTATGGACGGATTGGCTGTGAGAAGGATGGGAGACTGGCTCCCAGCTGAAGAAATGGTGAATCCCAGCCTGTGCCATCCTGGTCTTGAGCAACAGTCACATTTGGATGCTGATTTTGAGTTGAAATGTTGGAAATAAAGGCCAGAGATGCATCCAGGAGAAAAGTTAGGAAAATCCAACAGAGACAAATGGCAAACTGCCCACACATGGTCTTCAGATCTGGACTGTAGCTCAAAGAATGAAAAATTGCTCTTTTAGCTTTTCCCTTCAGTCCTTTAGTTATGCTTTCAGTTGGTGCTAGGTGCTTCAGGGACTCTGTGTACCCAACACCAGACATCCTTGGGCTCTTAAACAACAACATACTGAATTCAGTGTCTTATCACACAAGCAGCACTCTATTGAGTATGGCACACTTGAGTTCCCAAGCCTCTGATATTTTGGCTAACTTACAATCTGAATATAAGACAACTATGCTGAAATTTGGTTTAATGCAAGGTGTCACGTACCAAAATTTCCACACTTCACACTTTTGCGAAGTGCCAACTTTAAATGGGTTATCAATGAAATTGGATAAAGTTGGTGTGTAAATCACTGGACTAAGGAGTAAAATATTTTAAAAAGAGACCACATGAAAAATGTTCATGGGGCAAATGCCCCATTTATTTTCATCTACACAAAATCAGCATTATGGATCAAAGGCACATTTGGTGTAATATCAAGTATATTTTCTGCATCATACTAAACATCCAGTTTACTCCCATGTTATAATATTACATATAAATACAGTCACATAAAATTGTATATACGCACATACAGATAACAAACAGCAGAATTAACAGAGAAATACAGCATTTATGAAACAAGCTGATTGATTAGCAGTTCTGTAGTGTCAGGTTCCATCTGTGTGTGTGTGTGTGTGTGTGTGTGTGTGTGTGTGTGTGTGTGTCCTTTAGAAAAAACCCGACCTGGCACACTATACGTGTGAATGTAACCATATTTCAGTTTGTGATACTCCTGTGTTGACCTCCATCCTGTCGTCTTGCTTATTCACACACTCAGAGTGAGAACAGATGATCATGTGTGCTATCCTGTTGCTGGCTAGATTGTGGTGGCCGTCTGGGTGTGGAAGATGGCACATTGAGAATCGTCTGGCTGCTGTAGTCTGCCGCCTTCGCCCGATCCTCCAGGAACTTATCAAACTCTGAAATGGTGACACGTATAATTTAATATTTGTGTGTGTCTGAAAATATTATCATTACTCAAAAGAAGCGACAGGACCAGACATACCTTCACTGGAAACTCCCTCGCAAACTGAAGACTGCTCTTCCGGCTTTTTCATAGACAAAGAATAAAGATTATGTCATGCTATTATCACCCTGATCTATCTATCTATTCACACACATGTGTTCTCTTACCAAATCAGAAGATAACCATTTGTCAATATCATTCTGCATAGAGTTTGTCGCTGGCGGAATCTAAAAGAAATTAAATGACCCTGAGTTTTATTTATTTGTAATATTAAAACAGGGATATTACTCCAAACAAAATCCAGCTGCATCTTACTGTTGCTGTACTCCCTCCTCCTGTGACCTGCAGCCTGGTATCAAGAGCTCCAGCCAGGCCCTCTACAGCTCCTGGATCTTCATACCTAACACTGAACACACACAACCACACACAGATCAGGCATATACAGCACATAAAAACACTCAGACACTTTGTTAGGTACACCTGTTCAACTGCTCGTTATTGTAAATGTCTAATCAGCCAATCACAGAGCAGCAACTCACTGCATTTACGCGCGTAGACAAGTAGGCTGAAGTTCAAACCAAGCATCAGAACAGTGGAGAAAGGGGACTTAAGTGACTTTAAGCAATGCATGGCTGTTGGTACCAGATGGGTTCCTCTAAGTCAGGGATGGGCAATTCCAGGCCTCAAGGGCCGGTGTCCTGCAGGTTTTAGATATCACTCTGGGTCAGCACACCTGAATCAAATGATTAGTCCATTACCAGGCTTCTGGAGAACTGCGAGACATGTTGAGGAGGTCATTTAGCCATTTGAATCAGCTGTCCTGGATCAAGGACACATCTAAAACCTGCAGGACACCTGCCCTCCAGGCCTGGAGTTGCCCACCCCTGCTCTAAGTCAAGGGTTTCAAACTCGCGGCCCAGGGGCCACTTGTGGCCCACGTCACCCCAGAGTTTTTGTCTTGCTCGTATCATTTTATTTTGTTGTATTTATCCGCGACACCTTGAAGGCTGGTCCATGAAGATATTGTGTGACATTAAACTGGTCCATGGTGCAAAAAAGGTTGGGGACTGCTGCTCTAAATCATTTACTAGTTGTTAAATATAAATGGTGATGACAAGGTCGCTTGGATTCCTTATTGGAAAGGTCTTTGTTAAAGGCTCTGTGTTTCTAATAAAGCGTATTTGCTTACAACTGTCCAAAATTCAAAACTTAGCTTAATGTTAAGAAATGAAACACAGCTCTGATAGGAAGATTGTAATTGTCAGGGCCTTAAGGTATTGTTTTGATAAGTATAAATGTGATTCATTATCTAGAACATTAATAAATCGACTTGTTATCAGTGGCATGCAGATCCCTAACATATAAAACGCATAGATGATGTCATTTATATCCATCATAAGTAAGTAAAACTCACCTTTTCCTCTGGTCAGCCAGAGAGCTGCCTCTGGTTTGCGCAAACATGTCAAATTCCTCCTCTTCATCTGCAATGCAGAAGTCCTCATTTTATTTACTTTGTTATCTAATTGCTGTTAATTAAAATTGTGGTATAACTTTAGAGAAAAACAAAATTATATTAAATTTGACCATGTTTTCAAAAACATATATTTAAAATGTTAAGCAGAAGTAGCATAGAAGTTACAGCAGTTACAGAAGAGAAGTTCCTATAACCATTGTTGTTGCCATTCATCACATGAGGTGACACCGGTCAACATGGAGCTTATGCATTTTTAAACATTCCCTTGTGACGTTCAGCCACAGCATCCTGTTTTTACCAATCATAAGACAAATGCTACGGCTGAATAATCAATTTTGCTCAAGGAGCACAATTACCCAGAGGCTTCTATAGAGCTGCTATTAAAAGATCTGCTCGGAAACTGTAAACACTAAAAAAGGTGATTCAGCACTTCCTGTATTACTTCTATTCAATATTATCTCCTTTTCTTTATGAAAGGAAAGGAGATAATGCTCTCCCAAAATTCTTTCAGCGACACACTATCCAACAGTTCCCCAAAACAATAACAATGCAGATTATTATGCAGAATATTATGTAAGTGTTCATTGTTAGGATGTTTATCATTTCATATCATAACCTGATGATATGTTATGAAACTTCACCAACAGGCTATGTTTAACTCACAGGAAGTAAGATCTGCTTCTTATGAAGTTAACACCTTGCCTAAGGAACACAAATTTATATACACTATTTAAAAGGAATCTCTTTGAATTAAGATCCTAAAACTAATTGTAATCATAATCACAGGGATTTTCAGATTTGCAATATTTCAGTTTGCATTAATTATGTTCATTGCTTTCTTCTGAGCTTGGGGAAAAAACAACTGGAGTTTCATAAAGAGGTTCCACCTTTCACCTACTCCAACCCATCACTTTTCACATCAACTCAGTGGATAGAAACATAGAGGAGCTATCTCAACAAGACAAGGCTCAGCTGTACATCTGCATCTAAAGGATAAAGGTCACTTTTTCAAAGATGCCAATGTTTACATTTGGACCAAGAAGACAGATGGTTTGAAAGAGGAGCAAAAGACGCCCTCTATGTCCACTGTGAACAAGCATGGGGTGGTTTATGACACCAACTGTCACCCACTTACAATGAAATCATGAAATCCCTTCCCAGATGGCTCAACTTCCATGCACGTCTTGTGTCAGGTGACGTCAATAGACCACATGATAGCGTAAGGCAACGTCTCACAATGGTTTCACCCGAAACCTCCGGTGATAATGACCCACGCCTTTTTTCACACCTTGGTTCATGTGATAATGATTGATAGTGGGTTAACGACCCTCCTACGGGACAACCCCAACTAGGATATCAATACCTGGGACGCTCCACCTCCACCTCAGTTTTATTACTGAAGAAGCGTCTTGGATGAGAGGTGAAACATCTTTACAGTTTTTTAAAAAGTCCAGTTGCTTTTGTTCCAAGCTCCTGGGAATGCCATGACCTGGACGTCTAAGAAACTACACAGACAGATGTCCATTGCTGTATTTCTAGTCTTTAGATTGATAATTAATTAAATTGACTTCAGTCACAGGAAGCCTCAGTAAAACAAGGCTTATACTGGAACATCTCTCCAGCAGAAAGAGAAGTGATATATGAATAAGATCAGCAACTAGTGTGAGAACCATTTGATTTCACTTTAAACTCAATTTACTCCCTTTTCTTTAAAATTCAAACTTTGGTAACGAAGTCACATTTGTCACTGGTTGTTTTTGTAAAAACATACAGGGAAAAGTAACCAAAATGCCCTTTTTTGAATTGTAGTTTCACTATGTCAGAAGCGCCTAAATGTGTGAATGTAATCAGAGTCTTCAAGCAACTTAAAGAAGTCCAGACGCTTTGACTAAGTATCATAGTTCCCATTTTCTAAGTGGTTGTTTTCCCAACAACTTCAAAGAAACGTGATGAGGAAAAGACAGTGTTTTTTGAACTGAACCGTAAAGAAGCTCAAAGTTACTCAAAGTTTACTGACTGTGATTGGCTGATTGCTGCTGATTGGTACTGGTGCTGGCGGCTGGTTGGCTGGTTGTTGAAATGACAGCTGGTTGTCTGACAGTGGAAGGCTCAGAACTGAGGTTGATAAGGTTTGTTGAAGAGCTCTGAAAAGTGGGTGAGAGCTTATACTCATTGCTTAAATGACAGTTTACTATTTTCAGACAAACGGTGCAGCACACGTCATGTTAAAGAAAGTTAAACAAGAGGATCTTTTACCTGTTGTGTATTAGCAATCTGTGCCTTGTTCAATCTGTCAAACCTAAAAAACAATGCAGCACACTTTTGAGCACACTGTGGTTGCATCTCAACACTGCCTTACAAATAAAATCTGAAACATGCACCTCTCATAGCGAATGAAGGCGTTGTTGAGGTCATCATTGACCACGAGCAGCACTTCAATAAATCCTTCATCCAGCAGCTGAGGGATGAGCTCCACCACCCGAGTCTGCATGCTCTTACAGACAGAGAACAGCTGCTGCTTGGACAGAGGAGGAAAGAAAAATCTAATTATTTTGTCCCCAAATGACAGAGTGATTTTAAATAGATAATTTTCAGTCATTGGTATTATTCTGCTACATCAAAAATTACTTTCATGTTTTGTTTTCATCCTGATTTTAATCCATTGACAACAACACGAGTCATGCTCTAAACTTAGATAACACTAAAGGCAACGGTTTTACAGGCGACATCAAAGCAAACGTGCACTTCAGTAAAAACAAAATAATAAAGCTAAACATTAATTTAGATTCAGACTGGTGACGTTAAAGGATGGAAAACAATCACTCTAAAACCTGAAACACCTCTGAAACCTTCCAGTCAGTGTTGGTAATCTAATGTGGTCTCGTCACAACAGAAACTAAACTATGTGAAATAATATACAAAAACATTTTATGTTTGTCTTTTTTCACAAATAATGTCTTACAGTAGACAGGACTGATTGAAATGTGGATGCTGTTATCTGTGACCTAAAAGTAAATGTAGAAAAGGGGCATAAAAGTGGGGCTCTCCAACACCTCCCTGGCCACTCAACACACACTTGACTGCCTCTTGGAGGAACACCCAGTTCATCATCACTATAAGCTTTTGAGTAGTGCAACTGCCTTTCAGCAATTAGCAATATCACCAGAGTCTATAATGCGGGGGTCATGGTGCCCAGGTCCATGCCTTTGTCCCCCACACATTTCAAAATGCATCCAACATCAAAGCCAATCTCTGTGGGCCCATTTGAGCTGTGAATGGCTGGGCCCCACGGCTTAAGGCTAGGCCACTGGACAGTCAGCAGTAAGCTTCCCATCCAATTTGGCTCAAGGAGTGGCCAAAGTGATAGCTCAGTAGGTAGAGTGGTGGCCCCATGATCGGAAGGTCGGGGGTTTGGATTCCCCGAGGTACCCCCGAGCAAGGTACTGTCCCTACACACTGCTCCCCGAGTGCTAGATTGGTGGCTGCCCACTGCTTCACTGAGTGAATGGGTTAAACACAGAGAGGAATTTCCCCACAGGAATCAATAAAGTATACATCATTACAACGTTAAAGTGGTGGAGCTCAGAAGTTATGCTCCTAGGATAACAGTAGCAGAGAAACCCCTCAACCACATTAAGGTGACAATTCTTTGTGTCAAAAAGGAATTGTGTGGTTCAGCATATGATAAGGATGCTTCCTGAACACTCTCCTTTAGAGGCTTTTCAGTCTCACCCAGGTAGTGCAGAACTTATTCCCAGCAGGGATTAGAAAATGTTCCTAAGGAATAGGATATTTTGCAATTTCCTTCTTAGCTTTTTGACACAGCAATTCAACTTTGGATAAGTGGCTGAAAATAAATGGATGGATGAAATACCACAAATGTACAACAATAGAACATTGTAAGGAAACTATATGGTGCATTGATTTTAGAACACAATTTAGGTCCTTAAACTGGCAACAGCAAATACACTATATTCAC